CACCCCACCCCCACCCCGCCAGTCCTCCACCCCCCATCCCCGGAAATGGCTGCTCTGCTTTTCATCACTATAGATTAGTTTGCATTTTCAAGAATTTTATCTAAATAAAATAATACAGTATGTGGTCTTTTTGGCTGGCTGTTTTTGCCTTAGCTTACTTATTCTGGAATTTCTCCATGTCGTTCTGTGTATCAATACTCATTCCTTTCGATTATGGAGTAGCATTCCATGGTAAGACGCTCTCACAGTTTGTTAGCCATTCACTTCTTGACTGTCACTTGGTTTGCTTCCAGTCTTTGCTGTTACAAATAAAGCTGCTATGAGCATTGTGACCAAGAATTCTGTAGGAGCATATGCTTTTATTTTTCTTGGTTAAATACCTAGAAGTGGAATGGCTGGATCATATGGTAGCTGTATGGTTAAAGTTTTCAGAAAATGGCAAATGGCTTTCCAGTTTGTAACGTTCTACATCCGCAGCAGTCTATGAGGGTTCTGGTTGCTCAACATTCCTCCCAATACTTGCTCTGCTTGCTTTTTTTAATTGTAGCCATTTTAGTGGGAGTGCAGTAGCATTTCATTATGGTTTTAATGTAAGTTTCCCTAAAGACTAATGGTGTTGAGCATCTTTTCATGTGTTTATTTGCCACCCATATATCTTCACAGGTGGAGGGGCTGGGCAAATTTTGTGCCCATTTGAAAAATGTGGCTGTTGGCCTTCTATTGTTGACTTCTAGCATTCTTTCTATAATCGACTTATCAGTTTTTTGTCAGATATATGTTTGCAAATATTTTCTCATGGGTTATGACTTGCGTTTGCATTTTGTAAGTGTCTTTTTTTTTAAGTTTTTTTTTTTTTTAACATTTATTATTGAGAGACAGAGAGAGACAGAGCATGAGCAGGGGAGGGGCTGAGAGACAGGGAGACACAGAATGCAAAGCAGGCTCCAGGCTCTGAGCTGTCAGCACAGAGCCCGGCACGGGGCTCAAACTCACTAACCATGAGATCATGACCTGAGTTGAAGTTGAGCTTAACTGACTGAGCCACCCAGGCGCCCCTCCAAAGATTTTCTACATGGACAATCATATTGTCTGCAAATAATAGCATTTTAATTTCCTTTCCAAACCAGATGACTTTTATTTCTTTATTTTTTTATTACTGGCTAAAACCATCAGTAGAATGTTGAATCAAAGTAGTGAGAGTAGAAATAAACTGATCTTGGGAGAAAGCACTTAGGCTTTGACCATTAAGTATAAAGTTTGCTGTAGTTTTTTTGTATCAGATCAAGGAGTTTATCTTCTGTTCCTAACTTGCACAGAGGTTTTTTGTTTTGTTTTGTTTTGTTTGTTTGTTTTTTAACAAGGAATGGACGCTAAAATTTTCATGTACTTCTTTTGCATCTATTGAGATGATTGTATGGTTGATTTTTTTGGTCTATTGATTTGGTGAATTGTGTCAATCAACTTTTGGAATCAACTTCTAGATCTTAAACCAATCTCTTCCTGGTATAATGCTTACTTGGTGGTGAAATATTAGCATTTTTATGTATTGCTGGATTTGATTTGCAAAAATTTTAAGGATTTCTCCATCTGTATTCATGAGGGATATTGGTCTATATCTTTCTTTCCTTGTAATGTCTTTGTCAGGTTTTGATGTCAGAGTAATGCTGCTTCATCGAATGAGTTATGAAATATTCTACTTCTTCAATTATCTGGAAGAGTTTGTGTAAAATTGTTTTTTATTTCTCTCTTAATGTTTGGTAGAATCTACTATGAAGCCATTTGGACCCAGAGTTGTCTTTATAAAAAGTTTTAAGTAAAAATTCAACTTCTTGGGGCACCTGAGTGGCTCAGTCAGTTAAGTGACCAACTCTTGATTTCAGCTCAGGTCATGATCTCATGGTTCCTGAGATCGAGCCCCACGTTGGGTTGAGAGCTGATAGCATGGAGCCTGCTGGGGATTCTCTCTCTCTCTCTTCCTCTCTCTCTGCCGCTTCCCTGCTCGTGCTCTCTCTCCCTCAAAATAAATAAGCTTAAAAAATTCAATTTCATTAATAGATACAGGGCTATTTAAATTACAGACTTTTTCTTGGTTGAACTTATTAGTTTGCATCTTTTATTTTTTTTTTTTTAAATTTTTTTTTTCAACGTTTATTTATTTTTTGGGACAGAGAGAGACAGAGCATGAATGGGGGAGGGGCAGAGAGAGAGGGAGACACAGAATCAGAAACAGGCTCCAGGCTCTGAGCCATCAGCCCAGAGCCTGACGCGGGGCTTGAACTCACGGACCGTGAGAGCGTGACCTGGCTGAAGTCGGACGCTTAACCGACTGCGCCACCCAGGCGCCCCATTAGTTTGCATCTTTTAAATAATTTGTCTGTTTCGTTTGATTTGTCTAATTTATTGGCACAAAGTTATTTGTCATATGGTTTTATTATTCTCCTAAAATCTACAGACTCTGTAGTGATATCGCCACCTCATTCTGATATTGGAAAGTTGTCTCTTTTTTTTTTTTCCTGATCAATCTGGCTAGAGGTCATTAGTTTTACTGATATTCTCAAAGAACCAGCCTTTGATTTCATAGATTTTTTTCCTGCATGTTTGTTTTGTATTTCAATGCTCAGATTCTTATTATTTCCTTTATTCTTCTTATGTTGAATTTAATTTGTTCTTCTTGTTTTATTTTTATTAAGGTGGAAGCTGAGGCAATTGATTTGGAAAGTTTTTCTTTGTTTTTGTGGGCATTTGGTGCAAGAATTTTATGTCTTAGTGTCATGTTAGCTGTAGCCCACAAAGTTTGACGTGTTGTGTTTCCATTTTCATTCCATTCCAAATACTTCCTAATTTCTCTTTAGATTTCTTCTGTGACCCATGGCTTACTTAGAAGTGTGTTATATAGTTCCCAAATATATGGGGATTTCCCACATCTTTGATTATGGATCTCTAACTTAATTGCTTAGCAACCAGGGGACAATTGGCTAAAATACTTTTAAATTTATTGAGACTTCTGTCTCTCAGTACTTTGAAGATGTTTTTCCCCCGGTGTCCTGGATTGCACCGTTTCTTCTTTGTTCCCTTACATGTAATTTATCCTTTTTCCTCTGGATGCTTTTAAGATTTTCTTTTTCACACACACACACGCACGCACAGGATGATCTTTCTCACTAGTTTTAAGCAATTTGATAATTATGTGCCTTAGTGTCACTTTGTTTGTTTTTCTTTTTCCTGGGATTTACTAATCTTCTTGGATCTGAGGACTTAGAGTTTTTACCTAATTTGGAAAATCATTTAGCAGTTACGTCTTCGAATATTTTTTCTTTTTCTAATTCAGTGTTTCATTCAGTCTCATGTTATAAAACATAGCTACAGAGCTATGATAGTTAGTAGTATTTATTCTACAGAGCAATCATAAATTGAGAAATTAAAGGGTGCTTTGGCATCCTGTTTGACGTTATGGAAGGCAATGTTGAGTGATGATACTTTGGGTAATTTAACTCATACTTATATCGAATAATTTCCTGGCCAACCTTAGTATTATATTGCAAAGGTGAGCTTTATTCCTGTTGATACGTGGGTATGAGGTTGTGTTTTTATGTCATTCATTTTTCCCCCTATTCTGACAGGAACTCATGCCAAACTTTCTACCAAGCACACGAACTTTGAAGAGGGACTTTACAGTGTCCCAATCCGCATCAATGATGGTGGCCGGCCACCGCTGGAAGGGGTAGTCTCTTTGCCAGGTAGGTACTTTGCCACAGGCAACTTGGGATAATGTCTGTCACCATGGGTAGTTTGAGAGAATTCCTGTCTTTGATATAGGATTTTGCAAACTTTTTGCTTGAAAATGTATTTTACCAAATACTGTTTTGCGTTGTAGTTACTTTCTGCACATGTGTGGAAGGACATTGTTTTCAGCCAGCAGGTCACCAGCCTGGGATGCCCACCGTGGGCATGGCAGTTGGTATACTCCTGACCACATTTTTGGTTATTGGTGAGTATAATTTCTCAGATTCAAGGATTCCTGTTCTGGGCCTTAGAAACCTTCACCTCAGGGTCTGTCTTCGGGGCTGGTCTGCTGGCTGCTTACTGACGTTCTAGGCAAACAGCCAGGAATATGCATTACCAGCAACCATCAGACTCTCCTAGTTGAAATCTGCTGCCTTAATACCACCCATTACCTATCATTGGTTAGTTGGGAAATATCACGCAAGAGGCTTTAAAGCATAAATTGTTATGTTTTGTGCCTAGTGTCCAAGCTTTTGTGATACAGGAGAGAGAGATGCAGTAGCTGTGCCCCTGCTATGTGGCAGGCACGGTGCTTGATGTGGGGGATAGGTGATGGGCAAGATATACACGGATCCTACCCTCACAGAGCTTACAGGCCAGTCTACCGTTGTTGGAACAGGTAGAATCAGCCTTCCGGTGGAGACGCTTACATACCCAAAATGTTGCAGAACTTCCCTTTGAGTATTTTCATGATGGTAAACTAATTCTTTGTTACCCCAGAACAAGTCGAGCTTATCATGGGCCTTATTCTGCTTTGGCCCTGGCCAGGCTAAACAGCAGGGTCCCCACTTCTAGCCGTCTTCTTTTTTTGTGAAACGCTCACTGCTCAAAGAGGTCCTCTTTCAATTGTTGTCCTCACCATAAGTTAAATATTAGAAATAGATACTTCACCAAGTCATATCCACTTGACTGAAGGGGTTTATACCATTTCACATCCTTTCTCTTTGAAAAGGAAGGCTGGGATTATTCTAAGAATTCTTACTCGTTCTCTTAGCATTTGGTCTTTTCTGCTGCTATCCAGTCTACCACATTAGACTCTGATTCGCAGCTCTAAAAGGGACCTCATTTCCTTATACCATTCCATCCAGATTCCTCATTATCATGACATGGAAGGGTCTTTGTGACATAGTCATTACTCATCCTAACATATGCATGGGGATCATCTTTTCCCTCTGATCACAGGTTGGTGCATACCCTTTCATACTAATTGAGCTAGACTTTTGAGTTTTCACTCACTTAAGCTTCCTTCTACCTCTATGCCTTTTCTTATTCTATCCTCCCTCCCATCTTGAAAGGATTTTTTGAGTTTATGCACCAAATAGCAGTTTCTCAGATGACCATGTAAAGCCATAATTTTGCCACAAGTTAGACTGGGTAAGTCTGGGGATATCTGGAGATAGAAGTAATAGGATCTTACAGTTTCATGCCCTTACTTTTTTAAAGTAGGGTTTGAATTAGTGCAAGATTCTTTTTTTTTTTATGTTTATTTTTTTCTTTTTGATAGAGCAAAAGCAGGGGAGGGGCAGAGAGAGAGGGGGACAGGGAATCTAAAGCAGGCTCTGCACTGACAGCTCGATGCAGGGCTTGAAACCGCGAATCATGAGATCATGACCTGAGTATGACTGGATGCTTAACCGAGTGAGCCACCCAGATACCCTGGAATTAGTGCAATATTCTTAATGGGTCTCTGAGTATCCAGTCTTTTCTGCCACGATTCCTCCTATAAATTTACTGCAGGTTAATTTCCTTAAAACAACTCCCCTTTTCCATATTGGTCTCTGGTTTATAGTACACATTTACTGCTAAAACACACAATGTAATTTTGTAGGTGTTCAGAGATAGGAGAAACCAGAAAGATTAGGGAGTCTACTCAAGCTGGAGCTATGAGGAAGGCACCAAAGAAACTGTGATAACTGGTGTGGACACACCCGAGCTTTAGGTAGGTGAACAGGTCAGAGAACAGCTTTCTGGTTGTTCTCACTGAACTATGTCCTCTAGAGAAGAGGATGAAGGACTGGAATCAACGTTCACTGAGTACGTCCAAAGTTCAGGAAGTCTGCCAGATGCTCATGCACTTAGTCATCCATATACATTAGGTCCTATATTTCTTGGTAAAGACCCAGCAATAGCCACCAGCATAGATATGCTTTGGGAGTTGATACGTACTTACTGAACAAGATAAATGATAAGCTTATGATCCCAAGAAAGCCAATGCCTAGAATCCCTTATTCACCAGGACAACGAAACTTTGTTGACCCACAAAAAGAAATGAAGTTACATGAGTCACTTTTTCCTACCAGGGTATTACTTCATAAACAAATGTGATAGTACATTTTAAGATTCCATCTCTTTGACCTTGAATTTTCTCTTTTAGGTATAATTTTAGCAGTTGTGTTTATCCGAATAAAGAAGAATGAAGGCAAAGATACTGTCGAAAGTGCTCAGGCATCCGAAGCCCAACCTCTGAGAAACTGAATTTGAGCAGGAATGTTTGAGTTTATGTACCAAGTGCTATTTCAGTAACACAACCATTTAATCTCATAATTTTACTTTTTGTCCAACATGTGCTCTGTAATTTTTTTACAGATATACCCTCTTGCCCTTTAATATTTTATTGCTCTTTGATATTTCATGTGCTATAGACATTAGAGACATTTTCCATTTTCCCATGACACTTTCCCCTCTGCAAAAGCCTTCGCTATTTATCCAAAGCCAAAAATGTATGCGTTTTTTCCCTTTAGGGAAAGATGGACTGATGAACTCTTCTGTTCACTTTCTCCTTATCGAGATTTATCAGTCCTCCACTGCAGAACTTCCTGGATTCCACTCATACTTTCTCCACTTCTATCCTATGTCTCCTTCCTCATGTCTCTTTTGGTATTGTACCAATTTTAAGACATTTGTTGGAGACCAGGACAAAGGGAAATCTCAGGAAAAAAATAAAATAGGAGCGCCGTCCCTTGGTGTGAACAGACACTCTCTTGTGTTAGTAGCCTTCTTTGGCTCACTGTGGCTCATAGTGCTCTTCGTTTGAGGTTCTTCCACTTGGGAATGGCACAAGCCACACAGGCCCCTTTCATCAATCTTGGTGCAGAAACCAACCACTGACTAGACTTACTTACTACCTACCATGCTTACATGCTGCACGTGTTTTCTTTATGTGTATATTAATAGTTTTGGTTACTGTATATTTAACGGTAAAAGAAAATATGAACGCATGAAAGACGTAGTGACAAAAACCAAGAATAAACGTTGGCTATGGTTTTGTTTCTTGAGCTCTTTGGCTCTACTTGCCGGTTCTTTGCATTTGTTGAGGGAACACGTGGAGAGCCATGGTTACTTACGGTTTATCAGAACTGCCTCCCATGTAGAGTGGGTCCGTAAGGAGGAGTGTCCAATGAAATAAAAATTCACTGCTTTCAGGACCATGGATTGGGTTCAAGACAGATATAGTTGGGATTTAAAAATTTTAAATAAGAGAACCTTAGACATTTGGAAGCATTTTTAGGTCTGATGCTATTGTCTTGCTCAGGCTTTGAGCCTTGAAAGCATTCAATATTACAAAACCTCTCAGAATTTCCAAGAATTTTTTGGAAGAGAACTTGTATCTGAAAAGGTGCTCTTAGAATGGCAGCTGAAGCAGGCCATGGAGTTCTGTTTTTCCTAAATAATCCTTTTTGTGGACTTCTATTATATTTTTTATGGGCAAAAAAGTAAAACAAAAGAAAATATCCAAACCCTAAGACCTCATTTTGCTTTCTTATTTAGTATCTTGTACTTCGAACTCTTACCTGTTTTTTTACATGAGGCTCATTGAAAGTCTTGTAATGGGTAAAGTTCTCCCTTGTCTCACTGTACATTAGAAGGCAAAACAAAAATCCAAGAGTGCCAAAAGAAAATTTACTTCACAAATTATACCCCAACCTAAAGAATAGTCTTCCTCAGCAACTTCTATAGGTATATTGTGTGTTTTGATCAAGAGTGACTATGATGTGACATTTAGGTCACATAAAATTGCATCATTTCTTGCCCTGCTCATTTTCAAGAAATCCTATTATCATTATTGAAAGACCAAAACCATCCAAGGCAGTTTTCTGAATTGGGTTCAGGGATCTAACCTGCCTCAATTCAGTGTTGTTCTCTCTGGACCAACTTGTACCACCTAATAATAGACTGATCACACAGAATCTTCTCATCTAAAATCATTGATTAGTATTCATACTTTTCTTGCTGTTCTGTTTGTTGGTTTGTTTACCATGGTGGGCTCTTTCTTTCAACCTTTTCTTCCTTCCATGACCAGATCCTACCCATTTTTAAGGTCTTTAAGATCGATTTAAATACTGGTCCCTTTGAGAAGCCTTCTCTGATTTCCTCCAGGAGATCAGGCCTATTACCTCATCTAAACTTCCACAGTGTGGTGAGAAGAATTGTTCGGCCAGGTTCCATCCCCTCTTCTGGTTAGGGTAGCTCTATTTCCACTGGGAAACATTTCCTCCACCCCTCACCTCATCTATGTAGTTTGGGTAGAGCCAACCCCCTGTGTTTCCTCATCCTTCCAGTTTTAGAGATAGGTACTTTATCTCACTAAGACTTCTAAAATTCTAGTTGGCACTCTTAGAAAATAGCTCTCTTCAAGTGGAATTTGCTAATCGTGTAGGAAGTTAGCTTAGAGCATTCTGATCACCACTACAGTGAGCTTGTCCCTGAACAAAGACTATAGCGAGTTAAGAGATAAGAGGAGAAATTCAAAAGATGTTGAGGACGAGCATCCAGCTTTGTTTGAAAGCAAACTTGCCTTGGACTTTTCTATCCTGTGAGCCAGTATATCCTTTTTAACTTAAGCCTTGATGTATTTCTGGCCCTTGCAAGAAAAAGAGTGGTATTTGAACCTTGCTTATGGCCCTTCTCATGTTCTACAATTAGAGCCCATTTAATCTCTGCAACTGGTCGGGGATTTCTCAGAGTCCTTGCAATGCCACTATGACAAGTCTTGGCTCATCGTGGCTCCTCCATAGTTTTTTGAAGTATGCATAAATGAAACAGCTGATTCATTTTGGCCACTTATGCTATTGTCATTTAAGTGCCATTCATTTGACAAAATTGGAACTAATTCGTTCTTTGTGTTCACTTACCCCATGCTCAAAGACATCTGAAGTCCCAGTTTACCGCCCTTCTTTCCCTACATACAAACCCTGATGCTCCATTCAAACATCCTCAGAGCTGGCTGTGGTGGTTCGTGAGGCCTATGAATTAAAAAGCCCCTGAGAATTTCTGGATGGTTAAGCAGTGAGATGAGGGTCTCGGTGGTGGAGGTGGGAGGAATAGGTGACAACTTTTGTGAGCAGCTCTGTTGAAAGTCTCAAAGGCTTCTGGGGAGCAATACATTTAGAGTGGAGATCTCTGGGTATTGAGAGATACCCTAGTCTAAAGAACAGGCAGGAAGCGGAGATTACCTCTGAAGTATCTAAGGGAAGAAGGAACCGATTTATTTCCAAGATTCGGTGCAATGCTATATGCATCATGGGAGCTTGTTAAACTTGGAACCTTAAAAGTTATCCAAAATGATACAACATCTTGTAACTCAACTGAAAAAATCAGTTTATCTAGTTTTTAAAATTTATTTTCAGAGAGAGAGAAAGACAATCCCAAGCAGGGTGTGCTATAAGCACAGAGTCCAATGCAGGGCTCGAACTCATGAACAATGAGATCATGACCTGAGCCAAAATCAAGAGCCAGACATTTAACTGACTGAGCCACCCAGGCACCTCAGTTTAACTACTTTTAGGTATACAATTCATTTGCATTAAGTGAATACATATGGTTGTGCAACCATCACCAACATCCATCTCTAGAACACTTTCATCTTCCCAAATGAAATTCTACCCATTAAACAGTAATTCCCCATCCCCTTCCTTCCCCAAGCCTCTGAGAACCACTATTCTAACTTTCTGTGTCCGAATTTGATTATTCTTTGTACCTCATATAAATGGAATCCTACCATGTTTGTCCATAATATCAATGTTTCAAAATAGTAGCAGGAAAAAAAATAGAATTCAAAACCTAAAAGTTGTCTCATGAGGAAACTCTCTCAAGACTAAGGCTATTTTTGGTTTTGCCTGCATCCATATGTATCACACACATTGTATACACTTAAATATACATTTTACACACATGTGAAGATGTCCATACAATGGATATGTTTGTTCCCCAGACACCACACATGCTGTCATTGCTCCTAAATTTCTCTTCACAAAAGCCTGTCTCGTTCTGACCGAGGCCCAAGAAGTGTGGTCAGGTGGTGGGTGACCAGCTGTTTACCACAGGGGTTCTCGGTGGCTGCATGTTCAAATCACCTGGGGGAGTTTTTCAAAAACACTCATTCCCAGGGCCTCATCTCCAAATGAATTAGCATCTCTGGGCAGAAGGCCGTGCCTTTAGCATTAAAAACAAAATCTCTCCGCCATGAATCTAATGTGTATCCCCAACTGAGAACTCTTCCTCCAGACGATCCCTGGAGGGCATAGTCAGCACCTATGTGGGGTGGAATGTGATCATTTTTAGGGTCTGAATCAGCATGCTTCTTCAGAACCTTGGCTCCCCAGTCCTCTCAAATTTCTGGGCACCTTTAATCCTAACTAGCCCTGCCCAGACCCCTTCCAGGTGCAAACACGTCCCTGACCCAGAGCTCAGGGAAGGGGGGTTGGGGTGGGGTGGGTGCTGGCAGGAGAGCCATTCGTTGGCCCACAGAGATCCTTCAACTAAGAGCAGCCTGGTGCGTCCAGGCTCAAGTCACTTTGCCACCGCCTGGGAGCCTGTGAACTCCAACCTAGAAGCTGAGAAGAAAGAAGCCTTTGCAGTGGAGAGGGAGTGTCAATGCCTAGCTTTTCACCGTAGATAAGTCTCTCAAAAATTACTCTAAAAATGTGCATCTGTGTAAAGTCACCCTCCCGTGTCTGTGCTTGGAGAGTTGGCTATTTATTTATTTATGAAATGCTTTTGTTTACTTTTGAGAGAGGGTGTAAGAGAGAGAGAGAGCACAAGAAGGGGAGGGGCAGAGAGGGGGGGGGGACATACAGAATCCAAAGCAGGCTCCAGGCTCTGAGCCATCAGTACAGAGCCCGATGCAGGGCTCGAACTCACAAACCATGAGATCATGATCTGAGCCGAAGTCAGATGCTTAAACTGACTGAGCCACCCAAGTGCAAAGAGAGTTGGCTATTTAAAGAAATATTATCAACCATGCAAAACACAAAGAACATTTTTTTAAAAATACAAACAGTTACCTTCCATTTTATTGGTTTTCCATTTTTACATACTAACATGGTACAGGATCCATTTGGCATTTCAAAATGATTTCCTGAGTACGTGTTATGTGTTAGTCATTTGTAAGCTATCTGGGCCTTTCCGGCAGGGAGGCCTCCTGAGATGGTAGATACTTCTAACGGGTAAAGGGCTGTCCTGGAATTCAGGTCTGG